AGTTCAAATGCCTGACTTAACTAGGGAGTCAAAGAATCAACAGACTGGCTCTAAGACTTGGCGGCTCCAGTGAAAAGATCTGGATGTTCACAGTGGCCCAGTGAAAATGGGGAACACATTTACTTCACCTCAACTTCCTTAAGGAAAATCTGCACTGTTTTTTTGGAATCCAGAGAGGAGAAACTTCTGATCTATTGGAGAGAAAACTGAATAATTGAGCACCAAGACAGAAAGACCGATGTGACTATCATGCAAATAAGAACTGTGATTGGCTTTCTCTTTCTGTACACGTTGTCACTGGCCGCTCTCAGCCTTAAAGATTAGGTTTCAGTGGGAGCGTTTCAGGTTCAAGGACTGTTAATGGTTTGTAACTGCCTGACAATAAGCTCAACCTCAAAGTTACATCACCCCGGGCAGATGTCTAAGGATTCAAGGCCAGAGGAAGAAAGTTCGAATCTGGAGCAGAAGGATGCCGCTTGCCACCTGCTTGCTGCGCTGAGCTTTTAATGTGATTCAAATTTCTAAGCCCTATGTAGACATCCTGGAAATGGTGGTCTTTATTAATACAAAGATCAAGTCTTTAATTAAACTTTTTAGGAAGAAAAGTAAGTAGTTTCTTTTCTCCCCCACTACATGCGAGTGTGTGTGCGTGTGTGTGTGTGTGTTTTATGTACTACTTCATCCTTTCGAGTGACGGAATTAAGAGTGTGAAACAGCATAATTGGCATGAGTTAAACTCCATTCTATACCAAGTTGTTCAAACACCTCAGACTTTTGTAACTCTAGGGCAGCATTCTGTGATTTTTTTTTTAGCATGTCTTATTTATTTATAGTTGGGATTTTAGGTGAATTCATTTCTGCTGCTCAAAAGAAGTCCTTTGAAGAAGGGGAGGGAAAAAAACCCCTGTATTTACTTTATGTCTGCCTTGATGTACAGTGTATGGTTTTTTGATTCTTTGGCTAAATATATGAGGAGCCTCTGTGTAATGTATCACATATTTTTGGTGGGGATGATCCTCTAAAACTCCCTGGCACTCTGTTAGGTATTTAAGAGCTCAAGGACAGGCTCTGTCTAGACTGATCAGTCATTGTAAAGTACATAGCTTTTGTGATGTGGCTTCATTGTATTCTTACCACTGGTTTAAATTTCTTTAATCCAGGCGCTTCTTCATTCTTTGGAAAGTATACTTTTTATAAATACATGGTTCTGTTTTTTACATAGTTGTTGGCTTATTTTATTTTACTTTAGTTTTTGGACCAGTGGATTTAAGCTGGATATATGTGCCATGGGCAGGAGCCACTGGTAAGAGGAACTCTGGAGAAAGCAAAAGAACAGCCCTTGGGGCTCATTTCTACAGCTTCCCTGGTTGAAGGCTGTCTTTGGATGGGCTGATTAAAGTCTGCCCTGGCAAGAGTGAGATACACCAGGGGAGAGACAACTGTTCTTTCTTAGGAGCCAGTTTGGTAGCTGTGTGGTGGGGCTGATGGTGTGATTACACAGACACTATTACTTGGATTTGATTTGTAATTGGCGAATAGGAAGAGTTCCAATTTTCAGTATTTTCCAACTATGAAGTATGGTAATTCAGTCTTTCAAATAAATAGACATTAGCGCAAAACATTGTAATTAACTGTGGCTACTCTTTGGGGGACATATGGTGAGTCCCACCCTGTGCAAGATTCTCAGATACATAACTAAGAACTAAATCGGGTCTCTGTGGATTTCATAGATTAAGTTTGATAGTTCTATGCACCATGCAAAACATTTGTTCCACGGAGGTTATGTGAAATGCCAGGTGCCTAGTTTACATGCTGCTTTTAGCAAACATTAAAAGCAGAAAGCACACAGGACATTTCTGTTTTTATTTAACTTGATGTCTAGTTCTCAATGTTTATTTTCCCATTTCGCAATTTATGGAGAAAGTGGGATGGTTTTAAAAAATTTTGTCCAGTTTTATTGAGATATAATTGACATATAGCACTGTGTACGTTTAAGGTGTATAGCATGATTTGACTTGCATACATCATGAAATGATTTTCACAATATGTTTAGTGAACATTCATCACCTCATATAGATACAAAAGAAAAAGAAAAAAATTTTTTCTTTGTGATGAGAATTCTGAGGATATACTCTCTTAACAACTTTTATATAGAACACAGCAGTGTTACTTGTGTTCATCATGTTGCATATCACGTCCCTAGTACTAATTTATCTTACAACTGGAGAAGGTGGGATGATTTAGGAAATGAATTATTTAAAGCCCGCCTTGTAGAATTCAGTAGCTGTAGAGAAGATGGTATATGGGGTGAGCGCTGACCATAGTATATGTGGTGGCTTGTGTTCCCAGGGGCACTGAGAAAGGCCAAGTTCCTCTTCAGCGATGGTTGAAAAGTCAGGAGCTACCTTCAAGTAATTGCACTGCTCTTGCCACAACCGTTCTTTACATGAGTTATTTCATAAGCTAAGACTTTACATATATTAGTTCATTTGATCTGTTTAATGGCTGTAATAGCTGTACTGTAAGGTACGTTGGGTTAACTTTAAACATGTTCAAATAGAAAGGTTCAATAGTTCATGCACACCTGTTGATTTTATTTTACGAGTCTACTTTATGGTCTCATTTCCAGGGACATGTTATGTTGTAGAAACAAGTATGCCCAGAGTGCCCTGTGTGGCATAGGTCAGAGGTAGGGGAAGACTCGCCCCTGACTCACAATTGTCGTATCTGCTGGTTTTACAGGAGTTAGACTAGTCACCCTCAGTAACTGCCTCAGCACAGGGTCCTTCTCAAACTTCTTTAGTCTCTACTACACCTGGCTTATGGCAGCAGTTATATAGAGAGTATTTAAAAAATTGTTGTTGAATATTTATGGTGCTGTCAGTTTCGTGTTGGTACCCCACTTAGATTGTGTTGTCAGGAAAAAATGAAATGCGTAGAAAAAGCGATCCCAGTCCCTAGAAGGATAAAGGAAAATTGTCATAGAGATTTAGCCTACCTGTCATCTCCCCCTCTGATGTCCTCAATCTCTTTTGTGTTGGAAAAATTCAATTGAATTGGATTATATTGGGAAAAGTCAATTGCATTGGAATTTCTAAAAACATTGAAATATAAAAGTATTCCATGAAAGCGAGAAATACAGAGAAAATTTTGTAGCACAAATGGATTTCTAATTAGATATGCTATTTAAATGTATTACCTTGAATGTTTATGATTAGTTTTGTAAAAATTCAATTGAGTTTATAACAGTGATGTTTTAAAAATAATGCCTTAGAGGGGAAAGAATTGGTCCCAACTTCTTAGTAGAAAATTTGTTTTCTGTCTTGACAATCTAACATTTACTAAAGCAATGACATAGTACAATTGACTATTATTTGTCATGGCGGAGTTCAGCAGGAGTTGGAGGTCTTCATTGACTTTGTTAATCGCTTTCTAACATTGGAGTAGAGGGAGGGCCTAAAAATCTGGGAAGCAATTAACTGAACAAACACGAAACACAGTGGGAAGGACCCCTGTGATCTGAGATTGAGTCTTTTTTTTTTTTTTTTTTTTTGCGGTACGGGGGCCTCTCACTGTTGTGGCCTCTCCCGTTGCGGAGCACAGGCTCCGGACGCACAGGCTCAGCGGCCATGGCTCACGGGCCCAGCCGCTCCGCGGCATGTGGGATCCTCCCGGACCGGAACACGAACCCGTGTCCCCTGCATCGGCAGGCGGACTTTCAACCACTGCGCCACCAGGGAAGCCCCCTGAGATTGAATCCTATTCAAAATTTGTTCCATTTCTCCCTTGCTGGCCCTTACCTATGGATGTGTTAGGTACCAAGAACTCACCTTGATGTAACACATTTAATTTGACCTCTGAATGTGTTCTTTCTTTCTACAGCTGTTTCCAACCTAGATGAGGAGAGTCGATGGACAGTCCACTACACTGCTCCATGGCACCAGCAGGAGAATGTGTTCCTTCCCACCACAAGACCCCCCTGCGTAGAGGACCTGCACCGCCAAGCCAAGCTCAACCTCAAATCAGTATTGAGGGGTAAGATGGTGCCCTGCAAGCGTGTTGTTCTTGGATTATTGACTGTTAGAATTGAAAGCATAGATTTAGTTGCTATTTATAATGAACGGATAGTATGCTGTGTCTTTATAAAATATCATAAATACTCAGAACCTAATACATGCCTAATATGTTCTGGGCTCTGAAAGCTGCCGGTTTACAGATATGCAAAACTGTCCTTAAAGAGCCTGCTCCATGTTAGAACCCTCGAGCATGTTTAAACCACTAGTACCAATTTAATCCAAATAAACACCTGCTGATGTGGGGAATTTTGCCACTGCCTTTTTAAGACTATTGTAAGTATTCAAAGCAAATTGTTAAAGCTAGTACTTTGTAATGGTTTGTTCAGTTAGTTCAAGTTGGGTGGAAAGGGGACCTAAATATAGACTGTGAAGGAGTGCAGAGTGGTTTGATTTATCAGAACTTGGGCAGCACCCAACGGGGCTCCTTTAAGCCCAGGTGGGCAGAGTGCACTGTGGCCAGTAGGAAATCCAGGAAGAGTGTACACCTGTATCTAGTTTAAAATTCTCATTTTTTACCTCAGCTTGTTGCTGATGTTAAGAAGAGTTTACGCATGGTACAAAGAAGGCATCCTAAAAGTGATAAAGGAGGGAGGACGTTCTTTAAAAGAGGAAGAAGTGACTTTTAAGATTCAGAAACTTGCTCTTAAAGCAACAAACCAACATTCTTATCCTACCAGACTCTGCTTCTACCAGTTTCCTCCTCTGTGCTGTTTGGGATCTAACTATACTAAAAAAGTACTTGTTGCTTATCTGAAATTTAATTTAATCAGGCATCCTATATTTTAATTAATTGTTTAAGACTTACATCTAAGAAATACTGTTATCGATTCAAGAAAAACCCAGCATGAGGACCCCTCTAATTTTTATGATATTTTTTACTTGTGTATCAGTCATTTATTAAGTAATTCATATATTAATGTACTGTTACTATAACTGCTGTGGTTACTAGCTAACATTTACTAAACACTCAACTCTATACCAAGTATTGCTCTAAACCATTGCACATATTATCTCTTAATCCTCACAATAATCTACAAACCATTACTGTGCCAGTTTTACAGATGACAACGTAGAGACACAAAGATTAGAAACTTGCCTAAGATCTCAAAGTTAGTGGCAAAACCAAGATTTAACCTTGGACAGTCTCAGGCTATAGAGCCCATATTCTTAACTGCTGCCTTTAACAACCTTTTGTTTGAAACCTATTATTCTGGCAGAAATGCAGAATACACAGACAGGGTCTCAGCTCTCGTGGAATTTATACTTATACCTAGAGTGCAAATCACAGTGTGAAAAATACCCGAGAGGTGCCAAAAATTGCTGTATTGTAATTAAAGAAAGCAGATAATCTCTGCTTAGAGAAGGAATAGCTGTCTGTAGACTCACAATAGATTTGGTATTCCGAGCAGAACTGTACAAACATTTTCTATCATGGCCCTGTTTTTTCTTCCTTTAAGCTTTTATAATGCCTCAGTTATCTCATATGTATCTTGCAGTCTTATGTATCTTGTATCTTACAGTCTTGGCATTGGACTTTCCAGCAATGAGGACATTATTGAGCTCCCTTTTTCATTTAGACTGAATACCCTGTATATTTAGTGACTAAACGCTTAAATGAGAAGAATCGCGTTAGTTGGGCGCCTCCATATGGCCTTGGAGTTGTACTTTGACCTTTGTTGACTTCATGAGGTGCCCAAACCCAGCCACAATTTCTTCTAGATCCCTGCAGTTCCTAGTGATTTGTCTTTAGTAAATTTTGACAAAGAGCTTCTCTACGTAGAGCTCACCTTCCTCCACCAAAGAATTACTAAGAAGATTAAATGGCAAGGTTCCCAGGACAAACCCCTGAGGGAGTGCCATTGTTAACATTTCTCTTGTTGCTCTGAAGACAGAACACTGCATGGTCTGGCTTGTAGAGAATGCTTTCTCAAAGGTATATGTGAGTTTGAATATTCAGGCCCAGTGGTTTTTTGATAGCTCTCCAGGAAATTGTGCTTCACTACCTCTTTCATGTATTTTTCAAGTACCAGATCAGAGCTTCTCTTTTCTGCCCTTAGAACACTGAGCATCTGTATATAGATTTTTCTGATTTTATTTTCTTTTGGACTGTTCAACAGATACCTATGAAATATCATCACCACTGGTTTTGCCTACACTTAGATTTTATTTTGAAAAGGTAAATGCTTCAGTGATTGCTTAAATGCCCTAAAATCGTTCATCGAAGGGATTTACTATTAATAAAATTAATAAGTTTGGGAAATTCTTACAGCTCAACTTTTAAATCTGGATTTAAATGCACCTTAAGAGATTTCAGATAACTGATAACTTGAAGAATAGTGGTTGAGAAAGATGAAACGAGAAAGAACATCTGAGTTCTTTTGTTCTTCATTTATTTACTTTTAGTCACATGCACAGAACTTCACATACCACTTCCCCTACATCATGTTAGCAACTCGAAATAAACACATGAGTGCAGAGTATTTATTGCCTCATTATCAGTGAAGATTAAAAAGAAAAATTCCAGTCCCTTACTATATGGCAGCTGTTAAAGTATGATGTTATATAAGATTATCAGTCTAAGTTAATATGACCTCAACAGCCTTTGCTTAAAAATACAGAAAGGTAGGTCACTATTCACAACGAGCATTCTAATATTTTGTTCCTCCTTTTAGTCTTACTATGACTTTGTCCATTGTTTTAAGGAAGAAATACTATCGTTTAATGTTAAACAGGTTGGTGCTTTTTCTTAATCATTAAATGCTCATTGTCGGAGCTGTTCTGTCAGTTTTTGTGGGGCGCTCAGCTCCCCTCTTGAGGACCATAAAATACAGAGGGAAATGATACAGTGAATACTAACAAATGAATAACTAAGTGTTGTAAACATTTGCTTATGTTAAAGTAATGCACAGATGCTTACTGGTCAGTAGAGTGGTTGAGGAAGGCACTTTTTTTACGAAAAAGCTAAGCTTGAGTTAGTACATAAAGGTAGATAATAGACACTACTTAATACGTCTTTAAGAATCAGTTCTTTGCTATGCCAGGAGTTTTTAAATGAAGAGACAAAAGGTCGTGGGTCCCCAGCTTTGAAGAGCTGAGCTTGCTGTCTGGTGTCAAGACTGAAGTAAACAGACAGTAGTGTAATGGAGACGGGCGTGAGGTACGCTGGGCATATAGGGGAGAGCTCGGTCAGCCAGAACAGCACTGGGAGACCACCACTCTCCCATTCCCCCGCTGCGGAGGAGATGGGCTTTCCTGGTGCGTCACACAGCATGTGGAGTGCCTGCAGCAGGTGGTTTCCATTCCCGTCCAAATAAAGCAGAGATCTTTTATATTTGTTGTTGGGGGCTAGTCTCTGGAGAACTTGATAGAATTTAGTGACCATGCTCTTGGATCAAATGATTTGGTTTTGTTGATTTATTTAGTTACTAGAGATTTAGGTAATGACTTATTGCTAACAACAGTACAAACGTGTACCCATTTGTTTTTGTTTTTTTATTTTTGGCTGTGTTGGGTCTTCACTGCTGCGCACGGGCTTTCTCTAGTTGTGGCGAGCGGGGGCTACTCTTCGTTGCAGTGCGCCGGCTTCTCATTGCAGTGGCTTCTCTTGTTGCAGAGCACGGGCTCTAGGTGCATGGGCTTCAGTAGTTGTGGCACACGGGCTCAGTAGTTGTGGCGCGCAGGTTCAGTAGTTGTGGCGCACAGGCTTAATTGCTCTGCGGCATGTGGGATCTTCCCGGACCAGGAATTGAACCCGTGTCCCCTGCAATGGCAGGCAGATTCCCACTACTGCACCACCAGGGAAGTCCATACCCGTATTTTAAGAGTATTTTGATATTTGGGGAAAAAGGACATCTGGCTAGTAATGAATAGTGAATTTTACTGAATTTCCAGAATTCTTCCCTTTTAATTTCCATAGTTATTTGAACCCTTCATGCGCTTCATCAGAGTTAGTTGTGATGATCAGTAACCTTTATCTATCTAAATTTTTATCTAGGTAGTTTTTATATATATCGAAGGGGCCACAATTCAGTGGGAAAAGGGGAATTGAGGGATGAGGTGGGCTCGCCCAGACTCAATGAAAGTTTCAGATTTTATTTCTTCACAACCTGTAGGCCTCATTTGACAGTTTTAAGATTATTAAAGGCTGAAACAAACATGTTATTTTTCAGCCTTCATTCCCCCAAAAGGCCAACTTGGGAGAGAGAGATAAACATACTTTCTCATAGTATGTTTAACAGGCAGTTTGGTTACTGCATCTGTGTTAACTCCTGCCTGAATTAGTTCACAGAGCATCTGTTGTTGGTATCAGAAACCGTCTAGTCACAGCTCTCATTCCTGAAGAAATATATTTTAGCAGGTCAGCCTACTCTGTGGCTCTAGAATTAGGAGTGCAAGCACAGGGTGGAATGTTGGATCTGGCCTGTGTTAATTCAGAGTCAGAAGGTTATGTTTATTGTACCTGGAGAGATAAGAATTGGGGATTTACACTTTGAAGAAATGACTATTTGTACCAAGTGATTTAAAACAATTGTGTGTGTGTGTGTGTGTGTGTGTGTACAGACCAACCTGTTTAACATTAAAGAGTGGTATACCTTTCTTAAAATTATGGACAAGGTTTCCAAGTAGTCCCAGCCAGGTTTCTCTGACAGTTCGTGACACACAGACTTTATCTAAGGGTCACTGCATCTACCTTTCATTGTCAAGAAACCACCTACTAGCTGCATTTTGACTTGGACAAGTAAGTCTGTTCTGGGAAGGGCTGTGGGGATCTCTGGATTTGATGAGGGGGCTTGGTGGTCTCATCTGTCTGCATTGGGCTGATGGGCCCCTGGGATATCCCAGGTGCCCTGTGGTTTTGGTTATAGAGTCTCCTCTTGGGGGTCCTGTGGCATTTTTTACAGAGCTTTCTGGAAGACACCTTTCTAGGCATGACCTGGGGGATGTTGGCCGAGAGCTCTC